AATTTATAAATACTAGAATTTCGGTAATGTAATCAAGGACGATCTCAGAAGGGGGGAGGATAATTGTCCTTGGGCTCGAACAGTTAAAGGACTCGACCAAAATTCTTTACAAAAAAATATACATATAGTTTATTCGAAGTTTTTTCAAACCATAATTGCAGATAAGTTCTTTATGTCATTATAAAAACTACAATTATTGAGCCTTGATGGCTCAGGGGATAGAGCGTTTGCCTCCAATGATATGAACCGGGTTCGAATCCCGGCGATGGCTGATCGATACGAATGCCGCATCCGGCTTGCACCGATTGAAAATTACAAGGTTACGGAGTTGAATATTAGTAGTCGTACACCCAAAAAATTTAGTTCTAAAAACTGCTCAGCGACGGTTATAAAATAAAATTAAAAAATTCCTTGGTTAATGCTATTGTCATTGAACTTTTGATCAGAATGTTTTGAACTACAACATATTAAATTTTCAGTTAATTTGGCAAGGTATTAATTTCCATAAGATTTGTTTGGGGTCCTTTATGTTCGTATTTTAATTGTTAGAATTTTGAGAGAATAATTTGAAATAGTACTTTTTTTTTTATAAGAAACCTTAATGTTTAAACGTGTAGTAATACTTTGTTATATATATAAACACATACATATTGATTTCTTTATTTACTATTTCTTATCCAAATATTGTGTTATATTCCTTATCAAATTTTATGTCAACGTAATGCTTGTCCAGGAAGGAAGGAAATAAAATGGAGCAATATTTGTATCTGCACTTGCTATCTGCACTTGCTATCTGCACTTGCTAATGAATTGGATTAAAATAATATGCCAGGCTCGGTTTCCAATTTTGTTTTCACCTCGTTATAAAAGTACCCAATCAATAAATAAATAAAAATATCATTCAGATTTTAAGCAATTTGTGATTTTTGAGAATGTGAACTGAACATTTTGTACAATCGACAATGAACAGCCGATCCATGCACAATTTAAACTTAATGTTTTAATTTTATAAACTTATGAGTTTAAACTCTGCTCTGAAGAGTTTTAAACTCTACTCTGAAACTCTGAAGAAGTATTATTAGTTTTCTTAGAAGTGTTTTTTTTTTTTTTTACCTGAAGAGATAAAAAAGCTCGAATTTCCAACCTTTTAATAGTAAAAATAACCTTTTTTTTTGTTGATAAATTTAGTTACGTTGACAGATCCCTCACAAAATATTTTCTCTTGAAAATTGGGCTCTTCACCTTGCATTTTAAAAAACTGGGGTTGGCAGATATAGATCAGATTCTTAAATTGATTTTCGTTTATAAGTTCTCATGCTGTTTTTCTTTATTGAAAGAGGTGTAGTATTTTTTTCCTCCATAAACTTGTAATTTTAACAAAACTTTAATGTTAAAAGCATACATAATTTTTTTTAAAAGTAATTTGTAAACGCAAATAGGATTTAGTTTGTAAGTTTTATTATTCGTAGTTTTGAAGTCAGTATTTCTTCTCTCTTTACATGGCTCTTTTGAGAGCGTTTGCACAATGGACTTATTTATTTTTACATGGAAAATAATTAAATGCATTGTACAACTTGCATCACTTAGTGTTTTATTTACAAAACAAAATGTACATAAAAACAAAACAAAAACTGCTTTTTGTGTTTATTGTGCATTTTTTATTTAGTAAAATAGTGATTTGCATCTTATTATAAATGGCCAGAAAACTAATTATATTTTCTCGAGATTTTAAAAAACTCCGTTTTTAGTTGTTAAAAAATTAATTAGATAAATATTAATGGTAAAAGGGTAAGTTAAAATTTTGCATTACTTCCCTACTTTTGAAATGTCATCTTTTTTTTTTCTTTAAGAAAAAAAAATTAATTTATATTTATATTCAAACTTATAATTTAAAATGGTTAAATCACTTTCATAAGAAATATCAATTTACCGGAAATTCGATGATCCCTCTTATGTTTAGTTCTTCAGAAAGATTTCCAAGAAGAGGGCGTATCAACTTTAAGACGTTGCTATTGACAACCTTTCTATTTGTTGCTCATTTGAAGCTGGATTCATCCGTCTTTATTTGAGAAGAAATTATTTCGATGCTTGTAGTTTGTTTAAATGTAATTGTGTGTATATGAAAATCTGTTATAAAATATTTTCTAAAATTTCAATTCTTTTTCATTTTTTAAAATTTAACAAAATGAGACTTTGCTGTCGGAAAAGTCATCTCTTCATCATCGAGTAGTAAGAAAATTTACGTATTTTAATTCTTTTTATTAATCAAAAATCATTATTTCAATAAACTATAATCTTGTGACTTTATTCGTTTATTTTCTAATTTTGAAACAAATTATGAAATCTATCTCTTAATTTAAAACTATAATTGGGGTATCCTTTTGTTTCATTAGACCCAAACTTCAATACATAGTTCATTTAATTATTTTTTTATTTGATATGTTACTCGTTAATACATAAATGTTTAACTAAAATAGTCAGTTCGAAATGTTGCAATTCTTAAAACGTATTATATTGTACACAGTGCGCAAAGGAAAAGAAAAAAAAAATCAAATCACTCTGAATAACTTTTGATCTAGTGATCGGATTTTCACATACAAAATACAAAATTTGAACGCAATCAGTATAATAGTTTCTGAGAAATCGAATTTTAGAAAAGTCAGATTAGATTTCTCAACCGATTTCGTTCAAATTTATGTTTTTTCCTTATAAAATTTCATTATTTTAAATGATGCAAAAATTTGTTCACCTTACAATCCAAAAATTTTCCATTTATTATCAAATTAAATAATTATTAAAAATTATTAACTTTATAGCATGAAATTATGTTAGGATAAACCAATTTATAAATACTTCAAAAATTTTTTTTTTCAATTCGCATAAAAAATTTCGAGATTTGGTGAATTACGCAAAAAGTAATCTTAACATTGAGGGATTGAAACTTTGGTGCGCTCTCCTGACCCAACTATTGGAACAATGTTTCGCAGATTCCGGCTACCCCCTATATTTTGGGGGACTGGAATCATAATCCGATGAAAAAAGGTTTATTCAGAGAAAATGCTCTGAAATAGAAATAGAGAAAATACTATAGTTTTTATGTTTGATTTCGTAACTTAAAATATCGTATGTACAAATTAATGAACCTATTTGATGCCATCCTCTCAAATAATTAAGTTTGGGTCCTAGTTCGTGAAAATCCACACACACACACGCACGCACGCACACACACACACAGATATATAATTTTATTAACTACCTTTGAATATAGTTTACTCTAATAAATAACATTTGATGAGGTTTTGATTTTTAGAGTAGTTATATAATGCTAACTAGCACATGCGTGATATATACAAATTAATTACCTCTTTGCTATTATGTATATAAAGTTATCTTGTTTAAATAGACTCACCTTTATCTTGAAATTTGAAATTAAACCTCCAAAAATAAGACTGAAACCTGCAGAAGCTATTTTGACAGTTTTAATTAAGGGATTTAATTCAATTCAATTCTTATTATTTAATTTATATTTTGTTTAGTGTGATTTAATTTAATAAGAATTAAAACAAAGTTTGATTTTTTTTTAATAATATGCAATAGTAATAAAATCTAAATCCAGATTTTAAACAAATCGAGTTAATCGTTTTTTCCCATTTTTTTTAGAGATATAGGTGTAAGTAAAATTATTATTTAATGAGATATAGGTGTAAGTAGAATTATTATTTAATATGTTATATTTTTTATTTGATATTTTAATTTCAAATATCGAATTTATTGAATGGTTTTTCTCTGAAAATATATATCTGATATATTTATTTTAAGTTAATATGTTCTCTTTCATTTATTTTAAATATTTTATTTCATTAAAAATCATTATAAAGGAAACTGTTTTTTTCTTTTCTTTTTACAAATTACTATTTAAAAAGTAAATTTTTAGAATTATCAATTTTACATGCCTAGTTAAAAAAATTTCTCCTGCTGTCTTTGTATCGTCAATTGTTTTTTGAAGCAATGATTCCTTATATCTATATTTTCTAAATTAGATATGAGTTTTATTGACTATGTGGCTTTTTAGAGAAGAGCTACTTTTAAATATATTTATTTTGGGGATTGTGACAGTAAGGTTGATTTTTTGTAATAAACACCAAGAGACAAGAGAGTTTTTCATGTAATATCTACCATGTTTGTTATGTAAACACAGTAAGCAGCAAATAATGTTCTTAAATTACTGTTATTAGATATTTTCAAACATTTTTCCGATTGACAAGATTATAAATGTTTAATGAAAATTATAATTATTTTGAGTTTAATTGCTTAAAAACAAAAATGAATAAAAATTTGAATGCCTTATTTTATTTATTTCCTAAAAACACACTTATTTTCATATTATTTAAGTGGTGTGATAATGTGGCTCTTGAATTTTTATCAAAATATAAATAAATGACAAAACTTAAAGTTTGTACACTTAAAGTATTATAGTAACATTTTGAGTTCTAAAAACTACAAATAGTCTATAGTTGATATATTTAATTACTTAGGATTAAAAATGTTTACTTCCTTAATTCACTTATCCATTTATTTACTTGTTTGTAGCACCTTGAATTCTCAAAACTGGTAAAGGCTAGTTGTCTATTAAACAAATGTTAAGTTAACTAGAATTGAAAATATTCACCTCATGCATTTACTTATCCCTTCACTAACTTTTGGCAACATCTTGAATTCCTAAAACTAACCTAACAATAGTCGATAGTCTATTAAACAAATGTATAGTTATCTAGGATTGAAAATGTTTGCCTACTTCTTTCAGTTATCCATTCATTTTCATTTAGTACTTGTTTGTAACTTCTTGAATTCCCAAAACTAGCAATAGTTGGCTGTCTATTAAAAGAATTCTTTGTTATTTAGAATTAAAAATGTCTACCTCCTTCATTCCCTTTACTTATTTGCTTGTTGATTGATAATTATTTGGTCTCTTTTCTAAATTTATTTTTTAATCCTCATAGGAACGGCTTATTCCTCTCTTTCTTCAAGAAATTCACAAGATTCTCACCAGCCTTTAGATATCTTTTTTTATGAAGTTCCACCGAGAAAGGATACTTTAACCTTGCCCCTACAAACTGCAGTTAAAAACATGACCTGTCCAGAGCTGAGTGTGGATGAATCCTGCTTTTTGATAACTTCGGATGTAAGCCGTGTCATAAAGTTCCAATACCAGAGTTTAGAATGCGATAATGTAAGCAAAGTCGTTATTTTTATTTAATAATTTTTTAAATAAAATTTTTTCTTTTTTCATGTGGAAGCTTATACCATTGTGTACATTTCTTTGGTGGTCTGTTATCTGTGGAAGCATTTTCAAAAATTATGAAGGTCAATGTATTAATTATATATACATTTTTTTATTGTGACTGTTTAGAAATACGAAATTACAAAATCTTTTTTAAAACAGCAACTTTTTTAAAACCGTGTAAACAAAAATTAAATCTTTGCAATTATTAAATGTATCAAAATCGTCTGTAAAAATATTATTCTGTCTGAAAAGATTTTAGGGAGTTCATATGTTCTGCTCATAAATTATGCTAAAATATTGAGCTTCTTGTTTAATTATACTAGGGGTTGAAAAAATTATATTATTTTTGTAGTTTACTATAACTACACATACTTAGTTACAAATGAAGTTAATTTTATAATAGAAAATACTTTTATAATAGAAAATTTCTATTTTCAATATTTTTAAATTTCTAATCTGATTTTCATCTTTATATTTTAGTGTTCATTGATTGATCATTCACTGCAACCACAAGAGTCACATCCTATAGTTTTTAAACTTGCATCACTGGGTACTGTTTGGCAAATTTCAGATGAAGACAACAAGCAATTATGCAGGTATCTTATTCATGTCTCTACTTAATTTTAAACATTTCGTAACATTTATTATAAATTATATATATTGTAGTCTTTATTATTATCCAGTGTTGACTGCTAATAAAATCTGTCACCTTTTCAAATCAATTTTCCAAATAAAAATGAAATTTCATAAATTTCATTTTTAATAGTTTTAAGCAAATTTTTCAAATTAATTGTTCTATGGAATAGAAAAATATTTTTTTAGTTCCGTACAACATGCTTAAACAAAAAAATTTTTTTTTTTTTTTAAATAAAATGTTAAAAATATTTTGTGTAATTAAAAATTTATTATTTTTAAAATTTTTTATGTTTTATTGTATAAAATTGGGAGCTACTACTGTAAATGATTAATATAATTGAATATAACCACAAGCTTCTTAATCGAAAAATGGAATTGCTCGTCATTAGAAATAAGTTCATAACATTATAATTTCGCAATAAAGGGGAACTCTTTGGTGATTTTTCAATATATATATATATATATTAAGTCCCATTTGCTATTCCATAGGCATATTATAATTTAAGTGCAGGTGTTAGAATGTCCATACCAAACAGATCATCCTAATATAGTGACTATGATCTAGTTTCTTTCTCTTTTTCATTTCCATGAAAATCACTTTAAAAATAAGTGTTCAAAACATTTTTGCACTTTCAAAACAAAATACTTCTATTGATATAGAGTAATTTGATTTTAAAAAAAGCTTCAAAAAATGTAAATCATTATTTTTATTTATTTATTTATTGATGTTACTGCACATTAAATATGAAACATAACCAGACCTCTAAATTCTTCTCAGAGACAGTCTTGACCTATGGTCAAACTGTTTCTGAAATATGGATTACTTCATGTTGATAATTAAAAGCTTATATTCGACTGCCATCCAGAATTCCGCATGAAGTTCCATATGCAATTAAGTTTTTGAAGGATGCATTTAGAATCTTCGTAAATTTCTTTTCAAGTGGTTTTAATAATTTTGTCAATGATGCTTTTTTTGTTTGCAAATTTCATTCACTTTTGTTGGGAATTGTATTTTTAATGTAAAAATATGAGATTTTTATAGTTACCTAGAGGTTTATAATTAATTGAAAAATGGCACCCCAAAATTAATTATTTTAAATGCATTTTTCTCCTATTATGACTGATGTTAAAGGGTACTTAATAGACTTAAATAACTGAAAGAACAAGTTATATCAATTGTTACACAACAATTGATATAACTAGGGTTTTTTTAATTTCTTTTTAAAGTATAACACTCTCAGGCTGGTATTTTTGTTTTTTAGTAATGAGTAACCTGGTCTTTTTATGTACTCATTATAATATAAGTTTTTGTTCAGATGACAGAGATCTTTAAATCAGGCTTCATGTGTTTATTTACCTTTATTTTTTATTATATCATTTGAAACTTTAAAATGTGTTATAATTGTTCAGAATTTAATCTTAAAAATTAAATCTATTGAACAGTTATGTAATATATCTTTAAAATTTTTTTAGTTACAATGAAGGATATTTAGGAGAAAATGCCATCTATCATCTTTATGTGAATGAAACCCATTGTTCCATGATAACTAAACAAGAACCAGAATTTGTTTATACTCGTATGTAAATCAATTTAACTTTGTGTATTCTATTTATTTCAGTTTCTTAAAATAAAATATCATTAACAAAAAAATATATTTCTTGATGTAACAAAAAATGATTTTATATTAACTCTCTGATGCCCAGCATATAGAAAACATACTGATTAGAGTTCACTTATTTATTTTAAAGGTAATACAGATAGTAATTTTTGAAACATCAACTAATGAATAATAAATATCAAACAATAATTTTTTTGGAAATCTCAAAATTTAGAGTAAAATATAAAGTGATTATGATAGATTTCAGGAAAAGTGAAAATATAAGAAATAATATTTCTCATTGGACATTTGAAGCAAAATGGTGAAGAAAAAAAAGTACAAATAGTACACAATAAATAATGCTATTATTTTTTAAACTTGTTCTTGTTTTAGAATAACAAAATATCTTGAAAAATAAAGAAAAATTTATGCTATTTAATTTGCCTTACACATACTTATTCTTTAAATTGTTCATAGTTATGCATTTAAGTTGTCTGATTATTTTTGTTTAAAAAAAAAAGCACTCTTTATTCCCATTGACTACCACAGCTTTTTATATAATAATATTTATTTTTAAATTAAGTTTTATTAATGTGTTACATATTTTATTTGAATTAACGTTAATAAAACTTTTTGTTTATATATGTTTTTTCTACTCTCACAGCTATTCTAATAGCTATTGGAGCCTACACTGTTTTAGCATTACTTTGGATGATCTGGGTCTATTTCAAAAGGTGATTATAATTTTTTTTAAAGTTTCATGCATTGCATTTTATAATACACATTTTGTTGGCTAAAAAATTCAAGAGTTTGAAAATAGGATAAAATTAGATGAAACTTAAATGCAGATTTTCAGCTTTAAAACTTATTTTTTCCATCTGTTTTTGTTTTTGTCATTTTCGTGCATTTGCTAAGATAAATAATAATATTTTTTAACAAAACGCCACTCATTCACAAAAAAAGCAGAAAATTTGTTGTATTCTATGTATTTTTAATCAACCCCTTTATTTTTTAATTGTATGTCTGGTTACAATGATCATAGCAATTAAATTAGTCTTTTTTAAAAAAATACAGACATTTTTTTTTACTTTTAATTGTTATTCAACTACCTGATGAGTGTTGAAAAAAAAGGAACTGATTAGAACTGAATCATCACCACATAGTTGCAAAAAAGTAATTAAATAAAAGCCAGAGAAAGAAAAAATATTTTTCAAAACTTTTAAATTAACTTTAGTTTAAGAGTGTTAAATAATTTTGAATAATCAAGGTAAATTTAAGTTTTTGCTCCTCCTTTCCTCAAAATGTTCTATTTACTGATAATTAAATTATGAAATTCTATACTGTGTATACACCTTATCAAGGGTTCATCCTTTAAATATTTATATATTAATTAATTTAATTTTTCAGTTTTTACTTGTGAATTACCTTAATAGACACTAATATGTACTAAGTACATAGTTTTTTATAAATTTTCTCTTAATTTGACTTTATTTTTACACACATAATCAGTGGTTTGTATATGATGAAAAAAAGAGGAAAAAACATATGAAATGTGTTTTAAAACTCGTTCAGTTACTAAAAATATATTAACAGTCGTTACCTTGAAAGCCGTTAAATAAAGAGCCAACTGTATAAAAGAATAAGAAATCTTGTTGAATTCCTCAAAGCATTTAACGTATAAAACTCTAAAGGTATAAATTTAGTTTTGCACATTTTTTGAAAATCTTTGAAACACAATTTTCCTACTTTTCATTATTTTGCAATACACCTTTCAGCTGTGTGAATCAGTATTAAATTTTTACAAACAAATTTTAATTGACTTCTCTTTTTTAGGACACAGTTTTTTAATCACCTTTTCCAAAAGGATTCTTTGGATGTAAGTACTGTAAGTTAAATTTTCTTAATTTTTTTAAATCTTTGCTTGGTTATGGGAGCTAAACTAATACAGGAGTGAAAGGTAAAATATATGTTATTTTATAACTAACTATTGCGTCTATTTGTTATAACTAACTATTGTAAATAATATATTATTGATATTCCTGGTCTCAGAATTTATGAAGTCTTCCACGCTATCTTCTTTTGTCGAAATTGTTCTGCTATCAGATGTCAGATTTTACTATTACAGCATTTACTTGAGATATTTAGATAAGGAAATTAACATATTCTTTTGCTTAAATAAAATAAAATAAATGCATATTTTTTTAAACTGCTTTATGAAGTATAATTTTTTTTACCCCTTATGAAAACTAATTGCAAATGATGCATTTTAAAAAAATTTTTTTTTTTTTAGTTGTAAATTTTTTAAATGTTTTGAAAGCTTATTTTTTGTCATTATTTTATTTGGTTGGAGTTATTACTTTGATGGGTAGTGTTTTTCATATCATTATCATTTAGTATTATTAATATCATAACTTTTTATGTAATTAGTTTTATTATTTTGTTTTATTCTAATGTTTTACATTGCATTGTAAAATATTTTTTTTTATATTTCAGAAAAAAACTTTAGTATTTAATATTAATGACTTAAACTTTGACCCTTATTTATGCATTTTTTAAAAATATTAGATGCTACTTTTTTACCTTAATTGATAGTACAGTAATTATTAAAATTTACATTTTATTCCAAGTGATATAAATATGGAAAAAAAGTTATGGACAAATATAAAATTATTTTATTATTTTAATAAAATTATTGCTAATAATTTTCTATGCATGTGCTTTTCTTCATTGCTATGTTACTTAGTATAATACAAAATTACATCCTAATAGTACAATGTATTTCAGGATCTTGCTGCTGCATATTCTTCTAGTACAACTATTGAAGAAAAGAAAGCTAAAGCTTCAAGTCAAAGACTGCGTTCACTAGATACTGTTAGAGGGTATTTCACAATTTTTCAGCTTTAATTTTATATTGATTTTGTCTAAGCCATATTTAGTAAAGGAAAATAACACATGAGCATCTAAAGTTACTCATATTTTAAATGTTATTTAAAAAAATCCAACAAAAATTAGATTCTTAGTTAAAAAACATTAACTAATATTAATGAGTTTTAAAATTTACAGAAAATGGAGTTACTGTTGTTAATGAACGAGTATTATAAGTCATGATTTTATGTACCGCTTACTTTAAAAATATATAAAAAATTGGAAACAGTTTTTACTATAATTTGGCAGTTCACTGTATTATACAATTTAATGGAAAAAAAGATTCCAGTTTTAATAGTATTAAAATGCAAAAAGATGTTATCGATTAATAACTCAGAGATAACACATGACCTTGAGTGGAATGCATTCACATTTGTAATGTAAGTCAAGTAAGTTTTAGAGGTATCTCTTTTTATAGTGCATTATGAAAATTTCTTAAAAATTCTTTATTCATTCAAAGATTCTATGAAAATAGCAGAAAAGTCTTATTAATTGATAACAGCTCTTTAAAACAATTTTTAAGAATATTCAAATTCGACCTTTTTTATAAATCCATTTTTATGATTGGCTACTCTCTGTTTTTCTGCAGATTCAAATTTTTCAGACATGGAACCATAACTAATCGACCTCTTTTTTTTTTTTTTTTACAGAGTATCTAAGTCCTATAAATATTGAACTTATTAAACAACGAAAGTGAATTGATTATTTTGGAACTATTTAGTATAAAGAAGGAATTTTTTTTCATTTTTTTTATCAATTATAATTTTGAAAATATGTTATGTGCAATTAAATTCGAAATTATGGATCAAATTAGTCTATTTTTAAAAACATTTGTTTTTGGAGTAAGTGTAGGCTGAAAATGAAGGAAATAAATTGAGTTATTATTTTTATTAGAGTGAAAAAGAGAAATAATTGTTATTAATGTTGTGAACAGTATTGTTTGAAAAATATTCTTTGCTGTTGAATTAAGTTATTTTATTTTGAAATGAAAAGTTTGTAGCAAAATTCTTTTACAATTTTTATAAATGCATGACCCATTCTTAATTTATTCAGTGTATAAAAAACAAAACAATTATTTTCTTAAATTGTGGTCTTTATTTATTAAATTTACGCTTTCGTTATTTTATTTTGCACTTTTTATTTGGTGTCCACTTTTGATCATAACTTTTACACCAGTTGTTGTTTACCTTTTTCCATAGACAGTGTTCACAATTAACAGCCATCATTTTAATAATTATGGTATTATGCTCACCTTCTGGTATTAGAATTCGTACTAACTGTGGTGCTTTATTATGAGCAATATTACCATATCAGTAATTAACATTCAATTTAAATACTTCAAAAAAAATAGTTAATCAATTACAATGGTCATAGAGTGGAGTTTAATTACATTAACGAATAACATGTTTAATATTTGTTAAAAAAAATGCTTGTTTTAAGTGATTTTGGAGTGTAACTAAACTTGATTTCATAATTTTCCTTCTTTCTCAAATGTTTTAGTTTGTCCTTTTGTTTTGTTACTTTCCTTGAATGAAGTAAAATGAATCACATCCATAAAATTTCTGCTTGTTTTTAAAATTAAAAATACAATGATTCCTATCGATTTAACCAATACAGCATTCTAAATGGATCTGGTCTGGTCCCACGATCTAGTTCAGAATCGTCATGACCGAATATTTCTTTAGCCGTAAACTAGATCATAAGAGTTAAAAACAAACCTGGTTCAATCATCATATTCTAAAAATAAAAATAGATAGTTCTCAAGTTATTGTGCAGGTTTGAAGAGAACTCTTCCAGACTAAAAGTCTGGGGCTGTTTGCTGATATAGTAACAAGTGAGAGCACATTTTTGCAATTTGGGGTTGCAATGGATGAATGAAGGTGTGTCGATTAGTTTACTCACCCTTACCTATGCCAAGATCAAATAAAGATATCATAACATTTTATAAAGATTTTAAATAAAGATATCATAACATTATTATTATTTTCTTAATTGAATTTTTAATTAAAAATTATGATTCATTTTTAAGGAGTTTAACAAATTTTAAAAATTATGTTCATAATGCTTATCTTTGCCATTTGGAATGCTTAACTGAAAACAAACTTGATTTTTTTTAAAATTTAATATGTTTACATTAAGATTTCTCTTGAATTAATTCTAAAACATTTATTTATTTTTTCCAGCATTGCAATAGTAATAATGATCTTTGTGAATTATGGTGGTGGAAAATATGTTTTTTTCCACCATGCTCGCTGGAATGGCTTAATGGTAGCAGATCTTGTGTTTCCATGGTTAGTTTGAATAATAGTGTATTTTCTCTTATTGGAATGATTGCATTAAGAGAGAGTGTTCAGTATTAAGACACATTAATCCTCAATACTGCTTGTTCGCATTCTTTATTTTCTTTTACCTTACATTAATATCTTTCCCTCGCTTACTAATGAAACTTTTATAGAGTATGCCCACTATCCTCATTTAATTCCTCTACGTTGCATGTCTTTAGAACAGATTTTCCCAGCATGTTACCACTTTTCATTTTTCTCTTTAGAATATCTATTGTTGTGATGATTTTTGTGAATTATGGAGGAGGCAGTTACCAATTTTTTGAACATTCCATATGGAATGGTATAACCGTGGCAGATCTTGTGTTTCCCTGGTTTGTATTAAATATTGCATTTATTGTCAGTGATTTTATGTTCAAAAATTTTAATGTTACTTGATAAAAGATATCACAATAAATAATTAGTCCTAGATGCTTTTGTTTTTAAGAAAAAGGTATTGTTGTGAGTTGTAATTGTTTGAAAACTCTGTGTTTGATTAGATAGGATTAATAATAATAAATATTATTATCAAATAAAATATTTTAATAATCGGGTTAAAATCTGCTTAAAATGATGTAGATTTCAAGTACAGAAAAAAAATGTGTTGATTTTTTGGATTGATAACTAAGACATTTTTTTTTATTGTTCCAAATGTTTGATAAAGATTGAACAGAGAAAGGTAAAAGTTAAAATTAGACTAAAAATCAAGGAAATTATTAAAAGTTTGGCGTAAGGCTTTATTAGTTTGTGTTTTTCTAAGCTTGTGGAAATGGGCTTTATAATCAATATGAGAACCTTTTTACAAATCAAATTTACTTTTTGAAAACTATTATAAAATTTTCATATTTGTGAAGTAAGTTTCATAATATTGTCTAAAAAGAGAGCATCTATTTTGATTAAATGACATACTTTTATATTATAATAATTTATTTTTATTTGCAGTAAGATCACCTAATGAACTTAGTTCTAAACTTGCCTCTTGCTTTTCCGTCCTTTTTTTTTAATCTTTATTCCTTTGTGTTTTTTTTTGTGCATGACAGTTTCTTTATCTGTTTATATAATGTTTAATTTTCAGAACTTAATAACTATTTTGTATTTATAAAAATATTGTTCCTGGTATTCTTTATTATTAAATTAAGGGTGAATAGACAGAGTTAGTGATCCCCTCCTTTTCTGCATTCCAAACAATTTTTTTTTGGATTGAATCTTTCATGCAGCATTTCCCATTAAACGTTAAGTAATGTATGTTTCTCGTCAAATTTTTATGACTAAGTAGTTCAATATTACATTCGGGAGTTAGTTTGGATAGAAAATAATTGGTTTGATGCAATAGCGTACGTTCATCTTCAGTGGATACCATCCCTCATTGACATCTTTGGCAATGAGCAAGCAGATCGCTTGGCCAAGGAGGGCTGTAGTCATTTAACATCTTCATCCTCATCCTTTACCTACTCAGAGTATCAGTCCAAAATCAAAAGTCATCTTTCAAACAAGTGGAGGATCCCCCCTCTCATCACTAATATGCGGCCAAGGAACCGGGCTCTTCACTTGTTCATATAGGTGATAGAGTATCTCAAACAGCTATTTCCAGATTGGCAAGTGACCACACGAATAGTCTCTCATACTTTGAAGGAAGAAAGATTTATGCAGTCTGCTCCAAATGTGAAACCCAGCAGGCCCCAGCCGAACATATCCTTGACTGCTTGGGCCTTTCCAAGGAGGACTTATATGCTACTCCTCTTCTTGCCATCGACTCTTTGAGGGTCAACAACCTATTGGATCTTGTCTGACTTCGTCAGACAATTGAAGGATAAGGAACAACAATAACAACAGTTTAAGGACAATTAAATTTAGAAAAAACTACTTATTACTTTCAGTTTCGAAAGATTGTTTAAACTTTTTATAGAATTACAGTTTCTGTATAAATTATCATTCGATTCAATAATATATTCGAATATATTATAATATATTCGATTCAATAATAAACCATTTATAAATTCATAAACTTGAAACTGTACCAGAATTACCGACATTTTCACACATTAGAAATATAATAGTTTGTTATTTTTACTGATCATTAATGATGTTTTATATTTTAAATTGAGTATATATTATTTTACTAGGTTAGTAAATTACGTGTGTGTTTATATTCTCTTTAAAATGAATCACTAGAATTAGTTTTTTTTCCCTCAGCTTTATATTAGCTTGCAACCCCTAATATTTCCCCCCTTTTTTTTGAAAAATGTAGGTTATAATTGTAAAGAATTTATCCTGTAAAAAAGGAACGGATAAACACACAGTCTTTAGCTGTTAAAAAACTTTATTTTAAAGAAAAATCCCCTTCATTATTATTATTATTTTCTGCTTACATTTTTAATTATTTTCTGTGCTACACACCCATATGAATAGCTTCAACGGCCTTTCCGTCTCACTCGATTGATTTCAGCTTTTTAACAAAAACATTAAAGCAATAATAAATTTGACGAAAAGCAAGTTAGAAGTTGAACTTCATAGAATGACGAAGAATGCCTTAAAAATCGTAACCATCTTTTGTAACCGAACACATAATAAAGCAAAACTCATAATTAACCTTTCACTTTTTACAATTTACCTAGCCTTAAACTAAAAATGAATGATGCCATTATGTCAAACTGATTATTTTTTGTTCAAGCCAGACCCTTAATATATTTAAACAAACTATTTTGTTATTTAAATTAAACAAAAAACATACGTCACTTCAGATTCATCAGGAAATGCCATGTTAAACTTGGCTTCCATTTTGCTATTGGAATGCTTTGGGAGAAATGTCGTTGGTGACGACATGAAGTGACATAGGATTAACTCTGTTTATACCATTTTTATTGTATAAAAATAGACTTGTTTTTCAAAATAAATTTTTAGACATCATTATAAGGAAATAGCATCGATTTGTTTCATTATAGTACATTCTTTGAACTATATGTTGAGAAGACTTAATAGAAAAAAAATCTTGTGAAATTAAAGGGATGTATGGTCAATGAGGTGTGATTTTTTTTTTATTTTTAATATAGCTAACACTAAACTTAAATACTTTACCAATTTTTGTAGGATTTGCTTTAAATTTGAACATTATTTAAAGTATTTAGTTTCTGTTGTAAAGGGTTATTACTTCTTTATAATACAAACAAAATCTGTTTTTTTTTTGTCTTTTTTATAATTTAGCTAATAGTTGCAGCTAGTTAATCTCAAATACTTTTCACTTTCATATATTTTGATAAATCAATAAATTATTAGCAAAAATAGCTATCTAATTTTTAAGCATTTTATGATGGTATTTTCTCTTGATTTATTTAAAATTGTATTTTATTGTTATTTGGTATTTGTTTTGCATTTTGTGTAGGCTTTTATTTCACCAAGCAATTAATTCTTAAAGGTTTAATATCCTATCTTACTAATTACAGTCAATAAAATAATGAGCAATTTAAAATAATTATTCATTATTCTATTCTTCTTTAGTCCCATTCAGTCATGATGTATTTTAAGTTATCTTTATAGTCATTATTTGTTTATTTAACATAGCATGCAAGTCAGTGAGGTTATTATCGCTTAGAAATCATGCACTGCATTTAATTTTAAATTTTTTTTTTTTTAAATCTCTTTACGTAGCTCATATTTAAATGATCTACTTAGATACAACAGCTAATATTATTTTAGGAATTGCATACAAAATTATGAAGTATCCATATTTTATTTAGCTCAAGATAAATTTGAAAGTATTTTTTAAATACTGTTGATTTCTGTGCAGTTTCAGATTGATTAATGATAAATAAATGTCTGTTTATTTCAGTTTTATTTAACAAAATTCACTTATTAAATCAAAAAAATTTATTTGTGCTTCTTGATTAATCAGACATTCTTTCCTTTTATTTTTTATTATTATAAAAGCTTGATAGTGTTTTTATTGGATTTCCAGGTTCATTTGGATGATGGGGATGTCAATGGCTTTGTCTATGCGATCTCTCTTGAGGAAAGTTGTGTCTAGGAAAAAAATATTTTTTAAAATTGTCAAACGTTCCTTGATCCTATTTGCACTTGGAATTATGTTAAATACTATCTGTACAGGTGTGTATAATTTTTTTTTTGCGTCACATTGCATAGTCTATTTTCCAGCACAGGATGTGTATATCCAGTTATTGTACTAATAATTGATTGTGTAAAAAATTCATTTGCTTCAAAAAGTATGAAGGTGTAAAAAGCTTAGATGTTTTGAGCACTTAAAAATAGGTGCCTATTTTTAAGACTTGATAGACGGTGAAGGAGGAAAACAAACGAAAGAGACTAAGAACAGAAAAGGTAAGTTGTCCAAAAAAAATTAAATAGAGGTGTTTTAAAAAAACTAAAACAACTGTGGTAGCCAGGAGTGGGAACACAAAACGTAAAGTAGTCACTGTATCTTGTTTCCTTTATTTGAATGCAGATTCTTTTGTTAATAACAAGATTTCCTCACCACTTCTCCATAGCAAGTGGAAATGCATCCTGTCCCAATTAGCCTCTCTTAGCTACTGCGTTTTCATAGTTTTTTCACCTTTGTTTCTACATTCACGTCTGACCAGTGTTGTGAATGAGTGCCTATTTTTGAGAATTTTTTAACCTTCATTAGTTTTTGAAACAAATGAGCTTTTAATGTTATCAAGGATATCTTTTTGCTTCAGTTTCTGGAAATTATTCATTTAAACAATTTATAGTATGAATTGTTTACTTAAACATGGAAACTATAATTCACCCATAACAGAAATCATGCTTTTTTTGCTATAAAAAAATATAAATTCATAAATAGATGGTGGTACAATTATTTAAGTATTATTTACTGGTTGCAAATAAAAGTGACTTCTCTGCTCAAAGTACTTAAAAAGTAAGAAAATATTTGGCTATAGAATTGTTTTCTAAGTTGTATTTATTCAAAAATAATAAAGCAATTTCATCTACTGTATATGTATTTTTAGACTTGAAAGGATGTAATCATGTGGTTATTAAATAGTAAAATAGAACATTTTGATACAATAGTTAGAATTATAAAAAAAAAAAAAATTAAATCTTTAAAAGGGCATTGTAAAACAAAATGTTTTAGTGTTTTAATAAGACCTATGAGCATTTGGGTATTTTCTTTGTTAGTCTGCTGGTTCTATATTTTGTATGTAATTATGCCTTTTAAGCAATTGTAAAGTATAAACTTATGTACAGTTTTTAAAAAAAATACAACTCATTATTGACTGATCATGTAGCTTCACTTTTTTGACAAAATCCCAACTGACCGGGTATCGTAAAACTTGGTTGATCCCATTAAAAAATTAATTGCAATTTCTAACCATGGGACTTAAAGATACCACTTATTAAACATTTAATTTCAAAATTTAATAAATGTATTGATGTGCTTACCTGCCATAAAAGATTGAATATCTCACTCTATATCATGAAAAAGTTTATTTTTTTCTTACAAAGGAATTTTTATCATTCACAGTTACTAAACTGGAGAATCTTCGCATATTTGGTGTATTGCAGAGGTTTGGGGTATGCTATTTTGTTGTGGCTACTGTGCACTTATTTTATGCTTCTGCTGATGATAAGGTAAAGTTTCTCATTTTACACTCTACTTTGTTCTCTTTATTTTTGAGATTTAGCCAAAGTACATTCAAGAATTACTAATTAAGATAAAACACTATATGTATATTTTATGTTATGAAATTAATTTTTAGCATAATCAAGTTTTTTTCAATTTTTTTTTATCTTTTAAATAAATTGTGTATTAATTGTAATGTGTACTACCTATTTAAAATTAGGGTTTTGTTTTTCATACTATCTATTATTGATTTAATATGCGTAAAAAATCGGAATCCAACAAATAAATTATGCTAATGTTTGTTTTACTATTTTAGTGAGATAATTATATTTTACAGATTTGCAGTGTGATATGCTATGCATTTTTTAAAGACCCAACTTATCATTTTTGAAAGTTCTATTTATCAATATTAAATAACTTCGAAGACTCTACTTTTTATTAAATACAAAATTATATATCTTATTGAAGACTGATCTAAATTTTGTAAAAAAAAATTTTTTTTAACTTTTTATAAAAACTTATATAAAAATGTATATTTGGATTACACTTTTAAAACAATTTTTTTTTTTATAATAATGTGATATTGTGATATTTTACAGATGAACTCTGGTTCTGCTTTAAGAGACATTACACATTATAGTGGTGAATGGCTTATAATGTCTACATTCTTGGCTCTACACCTACTTCTGAGCTTTTTGGTGCATGATCCCGATTGTCCACGGTTAGATATTTTTTAAAATTTCATATATCACACTTCTATTTCTTAAAAATAGTTAATTAAGTTCCAAACACCTAAAGTTGAAATATAATATACAGTAGAGCCCTCATTATTTGATTACCACAAGGAAAATTGTAAACTATGAGTAAAATTACTCAAAGCAATTAGCGACTAAAATAAAGATGATAGTTTTCTTTTTTAAATAGCAATACAATATCAGGAATAAAAATCATTGATAATTTTTTTGTTTTCTGTTTAATAAAGAATGTTCCAGCTTTTGGCTAAACTATATTACTTGACTAGTATCACTCTCTCAAGTGTTGGATTATTGTGGTTGGTTATGGCAACCAGTGGTTTACACTATTTTTCTTTGAAATGAAACGAATTCCAATTGGCTACTAATAGAAGCTGATTGATCATTGATAAATGTTCAGTGGACAAGTATATAAAGTGACGCTAGTTTAAACAGCTCTATTGTTGTTTTCTAGCAGTTGAATTTTAGAATTCTCATCAAAGCAGTTACTGGGTTGAACTGAATAGCATTAAATGTTAGGTTGAATGACAAAAGATCTAAAAAGAATCAGTAATTGGGTAACATGAGATTTAATGTTGATAAAATGTGTCTCAGGATGCATTTAATGTGTCAAAAAAGCATTGGAAAGCTGTAGGATCGGATAATCATGGTTCAACTGTTTAAGTATATTTATCACCGCCTAAATAATGTTATGTTCAGTGATGTAGTGCTAAACATTATTATACCAAAATATGAACTCATCGTTGCTAGTGCAGTGTTTTTATAAAGTGGTTTTCACAAATTAACTAAACTGTTTAATTGTAACTTGTTGCATAATTATTCAAACCTGAAGTTATTTTGCAGCATTTTATTATTTATCCATTTTTATGACATTTTAGCTATAGAAATTATCTGATAGTTGTCTGATGTTGTCATAATGGCCCCATTGTGCCCCTATTTGTGTAATTAAATTTTTTTCATTTTTGCTGTATGCATATGCATAATCTGAAGTATCATTTTCAAAAAAGAACTGTTATAAATATTGAGAATAGTTACTAAAGAAATATTGTTCTTTAGACTTGAATTTAGTTATTTTATTTTGAATTGAAGAGCTTCATGAGAAATATTTATGGAATTTTTTTTAAATGCATATCCTTTTCATAATTTATTGACTACATCGTTTTTGAAGAAAATATTTTTTAAATATTGCTACTTTTAAATTGGCATGTTTCAGAATGTAATTGGCATGTTTCAGAAATAAGTGTATGTAAGGAACCGAAGCATAAACTTATTGATTGAAATATGACTATTTCTGGTTTTAAAAAAATCCTAACTCTAAGTAATGAAACTCTAGGGTTCTGCTGAAGACTATTCTTTTATGAAATGCTGCAGTACTCTACTATAGAGAGCCTCTAATTTTTTTAGTTTTCTTTTTATACAGCTTTTTGTTTATTTAGTAATTTAAATAAGGGATAATACTAAATAATTAGGTTACAATTAATTATGAAGGAAGTATACAAATTTAAAATAATTAAATTAGACTTTTTATATTATGATTTTAATTTTTGATTGAAAACTTTTTATTTTTGAAATAGTTTAAAAATATTAAATTTTTGTAGTTAAATTGATTCCAAAATATATTATAACTGTCTAAAATAGACTTAATTTATTTTATTATTGTAAATAAAAAATTTTAAAATATCATGAATGTAATAAAATTTTTTTATTGAAATTAATAATTTAAGTTCAATTACAACTAAAAAAAATTGCAATGAATTTTCTAATTAATGTAACATATTTCTTTTCTTTCATTTCCCTTTATTGATTTTAATAAAATACATAAATATTTCATACATTGGTTACTAATAGTTGCGTAAAATGATTAATATATTTCCTAAAACCTACGAAATCTCTCTCTTTTTTTAGCAACTTTAAGTTATATCTTCAAACTGTCATCAATCTTTGTGATACACTAAAAATTGTTTGTGGTAAACGCAAAATATAACTGAAATTTACTGTTATGGAATCTCAGTTATAGAATTTGCTTATGAAATTATTATTTAATAATTAATAAAATTATGACTCGTCCCTAACCTTTGTTGTTCTATGATTTAACATGTATCAAGTATTGATTTTCTGAGTAGCATTATAAATTCTATTTTACGAATGTAAATAAAATTTATTTTAAGATTCTAGAATTTGGTTCTTAGTTTTTGTACATGAAATATAAATGTTGAAATTATTATTTGAAATATAATTAGTGTTAAATAATTAATCAATAGTAGTTTGAAACAATATTTACCTATTTTTGTTTTATTTTGTGTTTTGTTTTAGAATGAAAATTTTATGTTTTGCTTTACAATTTCTTTGTTGCAATCACGTAAACGATACACACTGTACCACATTTCAGTAGTTGGTTGCAAAAAGGTTCTAAATTGTATTTTATTGATTATGAGTAAATTAACTTTAACTTATATACTTCGTCTTTATTTTTTGTCCCTTAACTTTCAATGGTAAAACTTGAAAATAACTCATTTAAACTGTTTGCATTTTAGCGTTCACAAACTTTGCATTTTAATTTGTTACCATAAGTACAGAAAGAAATACAAATTTCTAGTGACCCCAAAATCTAGGTACATGATCGATAATTAAAAATATCCAACCACTATAAACCAAAGTGATTTATTTATATAAAAGTGTTTAGATTGAAAATATAATAACTGTTAACAGTTTTATGTATATTTTATGCAATAAATGAAAGCCATTTTAATAGCATATTTTTGATATGTTACGTTACAGGGGATATTTTGGACCTGGTGGTTTACATGACAGAGGTGCTTATGAAAATTGTACTGGTGGTGCAGCTGGTTATATTGACAGAATCTTTTTAGGTTTATCTCATTTATATCAAAGTCCAAGTCCGCAAGTTAGTACCTTTTTTTTTATATAAAAAGTAAAATTTTTTTGTAGATGATGTTTCCTTTATACAAAATACCTTGTCTTTAAGTTAGTACTTCAGACATAAATAAATAAATATTGTTCACTATTTGTAGAGGATATTTCACTGTCTGTTTGTAGCATTCTCAAATCTGAATTGCTGGATTAAAAGTATTCTTTCTTTTATCCTTCAATTTTATTAAAACATTTATAACCTAAATTTGTAATATTTGAAGACTTTGACAGAGGCGTCAATTATGTTGTATTTTATTTATAATTTTTACGTAAAAAATTCGGAATTTATGAAACTAATAAAGATAAGCACAGTGAGAAGTAATGAGTTTAGTGAAATAATTACTGATTTGATTTATAATTTTTTGCGAAATGCAATTAGATTTAGTATAATTAAACTTAAACACTTTTAGTGTTAGCTTATAATACTATTAAAATGAAGAAAGTTTTAAATTTGATGAACAATAACTATATTTATAATGTGTGTTCAATTATTATACAAAAAAATTAATTAATCGTTTATTGTTACAATCTTTTCTACATCACCTAATTAAATTGATTTATATATATTTCTATTTTTTTTTCTCCTACTTTTTTTTGAAAGAAAAAAAACTTTTTTAAAAAAATTTATGAGGTTTATATTAATTGACAATGCTTTTAAAAAAAAAGAAAATCATGTGATCTTATTTTTCTTTTCAATTATTTGTAAAAATTAGTGTAGTTTTCTATAGACTAATTTAGCGAAGAATGCAAATACTAATTAATGTATGATTTCATGTATGATATAAATAAAATATTAATATATATAATTTTGGTTTAATTTATTAGAATAATTTTCATAAATTGAAATGCATATTAAGTTTTTTTTTATTAATTATTAACACTGCTTATTAACATTTGTGTTTAAATATGTGAAAAATTATTTTTAAATGCTTAGTTTTTTAACTAAATATTTTTTTAATTAATTAACATAGTTCTAAAATTTGCTACATGATTCTGTAATGGCCCAAATTTAAATGTGAAACTCTTTCCAAGTGATTCGTTTATGATAGGAATTTCAGTTATGTAAAATTTTAAAGATAATTTGCATTTAAAAGCAAAATAATTAGTGAAAAAAATTATTTGAATTTGAGGTTTACAAAAGTACATTATTTACTCGCCAAAGGAGAAAACAAAAGCAAAAACTCTGAAAGATATTTTCTGATCCTTTATTTTGGTTCAGATTATATCAATATATATAGAAAAAAATGTTCCTTAGCAATACATTGATATTTATGAAATTGTATAGAACTGTATCAATTTTGAAAGATATTTTTTTAACAGAATGTTAATTGGGTATTTATTAGAAAATATTGCAGTATCAAAATCAATATGTTCTTTTTTTTTTCTTAAATATTAAGAAAACATCATTTCATTATATATTATTTATATCATTTGATAGTAATTAATTCCCTTTAGGGACTAAAAGTTATCTTGACCTTTGATCTTTCGTAACTAGCAGCAGCCTAAAATAATGTGCATATGGTATCTCTGAGTGTCGCTGTTGTTCAATTGAGGGGGAGGAAATTAAAAAACTTAGTCACACTAGTTTTCTAAACTTCTCTCATAACAAAAAAAAATTCTTATATCTGCTAACATCTGTAAAAAGATATCTCTTTCTGGTTTTTACCTTTTTATGAATTTATATAGATAATGAGTGATGAAAATTTCCTCTATTTGTTTGAAATATTGAGGTGGCATGTGTTGACTGTTTCCCCTTCCAACGACACCCCTGTATTATAAGTTTGTTTAATATATTCTTGTGTAATAATTTTTTAAAAATAATTGTTTATTTTTAACTTAACAGCAAGAAATGTTTATAATATATATTAGACGTTGAATAAGATTTAATAAAATTAGTCGAAGAAAATCAGGAAAAGGGAATTTTTGATTTTATTTTTTGAGTATTTGTAGCTTGTTTATGCAAAATGTAAATTCAAAAGGATTTTCATACTTAAATATTGAAAGCAGTCTAAGGTTAATTAAATTATAAATGTTAGTAAATAGTAATTTAACAGATTTTTTTCCCTTTTTATTAGATTATTTATAAAACAACAATGCCTTATGATCCTGAGGGCCTTCTTGGGTATTTCACATCTATTTTTCTTGTGTTTCTTGGACTTCAGGTACATATGTGCATATTACTAAATATAGAGGGTAGATATTATTGGTGATTGAATTTCATAATCACTTTTCTTTCTTTATTTATAATTTAGGCTGGTAAAATCCTTTTAATTTATAAGGATTCATCTGCCAGATTAATTCGTTGGATAGTTTGGGGCCTTATTACAGTAAGAAAAACATTTTTATCCTTATTTGCTATACTTTCAATTTTAAATGTGTTTGAAGAAAAAAAATTCTCGTTTTTTTAACTTTTTAAGTGTTGTTATTTAATTAATTTCATAGTGTAAAAGTTTAGTTTGAAATTAAGTTGATGTTGCCAAGGTATTGAGTGAGGTGAGAAAAAACAAGAAGAAAAAAATTATCAGAAGGAAAAAAGGGCTATCAGAACAATTTTCCCCGATAGCTGTACATAGAAAATAATTAATATTAAAGTTTATAATATGCTGATAGATTCTTTAATTTTGTCTATCTATAAAAAAAGCAATATCAAAATTATATTTATCTATAATTTTGATATTACTTTTTTTGTATATATGACCTAATATTTTTTGTTGCTAATACATTATATATCTGGTTTATACTTAATGCATAAATTAATGCTTAATTCATACTTAGTTTTGCTGCAAACATAATTTTTATAATGTCATTTTTTTGCTACACTAATAAAATAATAAAAAAAACTATTAAATAATAGATAAAACAAAAATATTGCTGCAATAGTTATTAGTTTTAGACAGTTTATTAATTAAAAACAAATTTTTTTATCTTGTGAAAAAATTCAATATGTGCCTAATACCTACATTATTTTCCTTCTCTCTTCTTGTTCTTTTTTTCCTGTTTTAATAGTTGAAATAAACTTGTTTTTATTTTTAGGGTTCGATCGCTGCTGTTCTGTGTCTGGTATCAAAAGATGATGGTTGGATACCCGTGAATAAAAATTTATGGTATGACTTCATTATCAATAGTTCACTGCATTTTTTTCAACTCTTGTTATTAGCTTTAATTATACATGTTCTTAGCCATGTCTAATTATCTAAATATCAAATTATCTTAAACATTTCTATTAAAGTTTTTTCCCTTTATGGCATACCAATAATATTGAGTTCGGATTAATTTTCTATAATGACTAAACTTATTTCTATATAAAAAATAATATTTATTAATGATCTTTAGAAAAAAAGATTTTGCTATATTACGTCCTATTTTTTTTAATCGAATATTCGACTTTTGGCCAAATCACTATCGTTACATCTCTACCTGCCTTGGCTGTAATGACTATATATTTTTTACAAAAAAAAGTTCAATAAAAAAGGAAGAAAAAGTGATTTTAAACATTAAAACATAAACTGGTGCATTCTTTTTCATACTATTTTGCGTGTGCAAGGTTTTGACTATTTTTTGGCAGTTAAAACTTTTCTGTAAAGGCAATTTGTTGTTTAAACTTAAAGAGGGGGGGGGGAAGTGATTTTGAGCAATAAAACATACACTTGCTCACCTCATTGATTATTTTGCAGATAATCTGCTATTGCAATACTGCTTAATTACGTGTGTAATCAGGAGTTTAATCACTAGTTTTAATTTAAATGTCAGTTTTCACATTTTGTTTTAGGTCAGTATCTTTCATAATGGCCACGGGCAGTTTAGCCTTCATCCTACTTTCCATATGTTTCTTTATATGTGATGTCCAAAAATGGTGGTCAGGAGCTCCATTTTATTTTGCAGGTAAATCAATGTTATAGTTTCTTCATATCATTCATTCTAAAATCACAATTCCTTAAACATATAATGTATACTTAAAATCAATCTTTGAAACTCACTTAGATAATCTGCAGCAAACAATTTGAGAATCGCAGTTAATTATTTCAGCTCTAATTCTACTTTGTTAAAAAATTTTCATTTGCAAAAATGTTAAATAATGAGCATGTTTTAGGGATGTTATAATAGTTATATATTTCTTTAAAAAAAATAAAAAAAAGCTTTAGAGAGTTGGAATTATAAACACTTAAATGTTTTGTTTATTTTTTTTAATTCACACATTTAAAAATTAATAATTTTCTTAGAATAATATACTATTTTACATAGAAAGTTAACTATTTTTATAGTTTAGCAGACCTACGAACTCTCGAGTTTTTCCGTCTAATCTCAAAACCTCAGGCCAGTAAAATATTTTTTCAGGAATTTTTCTTAATAAATGTAAGAATCGGCAGACCTAGGCATTTAAAACCTTGTTCAATTATTTTCTTTTTTTAAAAAAAACATACAATGTATAGAATTTTTGTTTATTACAATTTTATCCTATTAAAATTATTTGGCTAGTGAAATTTTGTTTTAGCTACAAAATACTTTTACCTGAAGATTTTCTTCTTCTTTTAATCCAAAAAATAATTTGAAAAAAAGTTAAACAGTGCTCTTACAACTTGCCTTTTTTTATTTCTTGACTTTCACTTTTTTATTGTTTAAATTTCACTTTTCAGTGACCAGAGTTACTGAAAAGTGAAATTTCAGCTATTTATACTGATATTGTAACTTACGTCAAAGGAAAGAATTGTCCCTAAGTAAAAGAAACTCAATTTTCATTAATAGAAAATTGCATTTAAAAAAATGATCATTACAAATTTATTTTCTTTTATAGGAATGAATTCTATTGTATTATACATCGGACATGAAATGACACATAATATGTTTCCATTTAGATGGTATGTTCCTTCAACACACATGTATTTACTATTTATGAATTTGTGGGGAACAACGCTATGGGTTATTATAGCTGTGTGGATGCATTACAAAAATATTTTTATTTCTGTGTAGTATTATTAAAATTAAAATTTTTTTAAAAATCTTAATTGTACATATGTTGGCTGTGAATATTTATACTGCTTAAATTGGACATTTTAGTACTTATGACTATTTTGTATGTTTTTATTTATGAAATAAAACTTTTAAATACTTCATTGTAATTCTTGAAAAAATATGGGTGTGTAGCGGTATCTACCACTACAATTATTCAATTCCAATTTACTAGTATACAAGACATGTTAACTCAATTATATGTTGGGGTACCTTTTCATGATGAAGGTTGACATTGGCGATATCACCCCACATTTGTTACCCAGATCATGCCTACATTGAATAGACACTCCTATTTCGATTTGAACAAGACTACTTTGATAGATGGTCCATGTTGAATAGTTGACATGCTATTTGTGATATCTGACATTATTCAGGCTGTTGCCACTTAGCTTCAATCACACACAACGCCGGCCTGTATACACTTGACTGTTAATGGCAACACAGGAGTGACCATGATTGTCAATATAATACAGCTCTCACTATCAGCCCTCAAAGTCCGGTGATCTTAATACAGCTCTCCCAACAATTAATGGCAAAGAATCAACTAGTGGTATCCGTTCATCAAATCCTGGTTGGGGAATACTGTAGCATGTCTACCACTACAACTATTGTATTTCAATTCACTAGTATATAAGATATGTTTAAACTCGATTCTATATTAGGGGCACCTTGAAGGTTGACAGTGACAATAACATTCGTCTCACAGATGTAAAAAATTTCTACTTACTGAGGCTGAATAACTCATATAATATAAACAAGTTATCCAGTTGCTTTAGGAAATAGCCCAAACTATAATGTTATGAAAGTTTGCAATCAAACTATTTAATATTTGTATCCATATTTAGTTAATTTGTACTATTATAACAGTACTAAGCCCTTTTTTTAATTAAAAATTGTGAAAATATTTGTACTTTCTCAAAAGTTAGTTTTTATGAAAAAAAATTTTTTTTATCAATAGGATATTAATTTGATAATAAAAAATGCATGTTGACTTTCAAAATTGATATAAAAATAATCTACCTTTAAACTTATTCTGCTTATTAATACAGATTTTATTAAATGCAAAATTTCTTATAATTTAACTTTGATCTTTCAAAATGTTCAAGTTATATGTTCTGTACGTATAAGCTCCTTAAACCTACAGAAATTAAAAGTTTTATTACTATAAGGGAATATTTTGACTATTTTTTTCTATTTCTAGCCAAAAACTGAATAAAAAATTGACTCGAATAAATTATAATGAGATTCTACAACATTCTATTATAATAAGAGTTACAAAATTTATTAACTTTTTGATTTTGATTGCAAATTGATTTAAAACAGTTTTTAATTACATTTATGTAATTAAAAACAGTTTTAAATCAAACATTTTTATGATCGAAGTAACAGAAATAACAAGTTTTAGCTTTTTATCTAAGTAGTTTAAAAATATTTACATTTAGTATTAAATTGTTATCTAAGGTAATAATTCAGTGGTTTTGTCCAGCACGAAATTGAAATATTTTGTATCTACGTCTGGAGTATATCAGCATCAAAGCTGAATGCATGAAAATAATTTATATTCGTAAAAACTTGTAAAATTATACTCTCAGCATTTTAACTGTTATAAAACAGGACAATTACCTAAAAATAAATACAGTTGACTGAATTACGAGGGCCGGGATAGCCTGGTTGGCAGGAAGTTCAGCTTGTGTTTGTGAGAATGGGAGATCGAATCTTGCCGGCTGAAAAATCCCAGTGTGTTAAATGGTGATTGGCACATGTTAAATCTGTCGCAAAATCCTCCAAGTTCCTATAACAAATTCATACCTCTGGGGATACTGAGATTGATCGTTCTCTGATTTAGGTCAAAATTACGATCAGAGGATGAATGGAGTATGATTGGGTCCTTCCTGTAAAACCTGCTGTGACTGTGTGGGGCGAAAGTTATATTCTTAGCCATAAATGGCGCCACTGAAAAAACAAGAAGCGCACCCTCTGTCTTAAAAATTGGCTTGATTTAAAGCAGGCAAGTGGCACAAGCAACAACAACAAATGAATTAATATCCAATGCACCAAATGATTAGAGAATTTAGTGTGTTTAAGTGACTGGTATATGCTATATCCTGTCACACATTTATTTCGTTACTGGTGATCCAAAAAAGTAAAGAAAGATAATTTTCCAACAAAACAAACCAACAAATTTATTTAAAATATATTAAAGTTTTAACACACATTTTATTACATCAAAACTGATCTTAAAAAATCATACTGTATTAAACCAACAAATTAAGAATTTATATAATAATAATTTATCTTTATTAGAGATCAAATGCTCACTTTAATCAATTAAACAGTTTTATATACAAAATAAAACGAATGTAATGAACAAACAACAATGAAAGTGGCATCCATGTACAATTCTACTTAAATATATGGAATAAATCTATTAATTTTTAACAAAAAAGATAAAAACTGATGACAAAATAAGATGCATAGTATTTACGTTAAGCATTGCTAATATGATCATTTATCACTGATCGTTAATTGAGACATTAATAATTTCTTATTCAGAAAGATATAATTTATATGAATGAATGATTATATAATAATTACACAAAAAACTAGCTAACATAAAAATTGTAAGTGGTACACTGTAATGTAAAGAATAAGAATCCATATGCACTATGAAATCTTTGGTGCTATTAGTTAAATTGATGATCAATTAGTTACAGTTTACTTTATTCCACATTTTTGAAAATTATCTTTATCAGCAGAAAATTATAGTATTTCAAAACATTGGTAGCATATAAGCCATTTCTAAAAATATTTGTTCCTATAATTACTGTAGATTCTTCTTTAACTTAGATTAGTATCAATAGGAAGTATTCTTTTCAACCCTTTCTATTCCATTGGACCAGTCCAATAGAATAGGAATTGAATTAAACCATTTAAATTAATATTCTATGGTATAATAATTTTACATTTCTTCAATTTGTATAATTTGGCATAAATTTGATAATTTTGGATATCCACAATGAGGCAGTGTTCAACTATCCTGATTACTCGAGAGTTAATTTTGAACAGATGATTTTTCTTTATAAAAGATGTAATGTTAGCAATTTCTTTCAAAAATTCAAAGCAATTTTTTTTTTTTGCATAATTCATATTTTCAACATTATATTCAAAATCTAAATAAATAAAAAATTTAAAATAAACAAGTTAATTTGGTGTAAATTTATATAAAGAATGACTTGAACAATATTTAAAATGATAGTCATTAACTATATTGATCACCAACACATGCAACATAGTGCCACACAACTATTATTTTAACATCTTACAACTTTCAAACATTAACTACGTAAGGTATTGAGTCTAGCTTTCAAGGCAACATTTTTTTTTTCTCGCAGATTCTATTAATGTAATACTTTTCCTACAGGCAGCATGGTTAAGTTTAGAGCAAAAACTATAACCCTAAAAAACCTTTCTCTTATATATATATTTATTTATATTTGCTTATGTATATTCATGTAAATAAATTACAAGAGAAATCTCTGAAACTTCATTAAACATAAAACTCTCCATGGAAAAACCATAGCAAGATGAATAAGCAACATAAAGAGATACAAACCGGGCCATGCTTAAAGGATAGTTTATTGGGTAAATGATCAGAGCACTCAGATTTTGGGCCCTTGATCAGTCGCCCAATTTAATTCTTGAATTCACGCAAGTATATTAAATTTTTTAATTTAAATACTTTGCAATATTTTTAATTTGTTATTATAATCTGTATTCACTTTATCTTTTAAAAATTTAGAGTGATTCGAATTGAGAAATTTAAAACATGCAAGCAAATATTTGCCTAGAGGATGCTTAAATCTTAGGCATGGCCCTGGCGAAACAAAAAAATTGTTATTTTAATTAAGATTGGGTTGAAAATATAAACACAACATGAATAAATATGGTCACATTTAAACTTTTCTATAATAAAAAGGGGAAAAAATAAAATAAATGTACAGTGCGCCAAAGAAAAACAGACGCACCCTGAGTAACTTTTGATCAAATGGTCTGATCTTCACATTCATCTTAATGGTTTGAGGGGGTGACCTCTACAATGCTATTTAGTCAGTTTAGTGCAGATGATATTTTAAGTTATAAAATCAGACCTAAAAACATACTTTTTTTTTTGAATAAACAGACCTTTTTGAATTGATTTAGATTTTTAACCCTAGATATATGATCCCCATAATGCTTTTTGCGTATTTCAACATATTTTCAGAATTTTTAAACAGAATTTAAAAAAAAAAAAATCACGTAATTATGAAATTTGTTTATTCAAAGATAATTCTATAGAAAATATACATTTTAGTAAAGATTTATTATTTTACTTAATAATAGTAGAAAAATTATGAATTGTAAGGTATACAATTTTTTGCCTCATTTTAAGTACATAATTTCAGATGGCAAAATGTCATCTGCAAAATTGGTTGAATAGTTTCTAAGAAATCAAATTTTAAATATACGTAAAATTTTTGTTTCTATTTTCTAATTTAAAATATCGTTTGCACTAAGTAATTAGCATATTTGAGGTCATCCCCTTGATGGATTAAGATTGAGTCCTAGAACATGAAGATCTGATAATTAGATCAAAATGTATTCAGAGTGGTCCGTTTATTTTTTGACGCACTGTATATATTTTATAAGTTTAGCTATTATAATTTCATGTAATTTTATACAAGTGAAAGAAACATCTTATTACACACAAACCATCTAAATGTTTCTAATCTATTTCTAAAAGCTGGAAAATAGGAGCTGTTAATTGTACATGCAGCAGAAAAGTTTGTGAAAATTTTTATCTAAGACTTTATGTCAGTTTAGGAAAGAAAAAAAAACATGATTAAACTTATTAAATTTTTTTTCTAAATTTAAATAAACATTTATATAATACTTTATAAAAGTCTCAAACATTATTATATAACATTTTAGTTTTAAAAAAATTAAACAAATTCATCTAACATGAAATCTTAATATTCTAAACAAATACTTTAAATTTTATTACATAAATTTTTGATTTTTATTTTTTATAAAAATTTTGTAATTATAATGATTTTGAAATAAGTGTACAATTTAGGAAAATTTTTCAAATATGATGCACTAATTTAAATAATTCTATAAAATATTGTTTTTTCCAAATTTAATTTTCACCTGATATATAATAATTTCCCATTTATGTAATCAATCAGATAGGATTGGAGAAGAACAATTAACAAAAAAATAAATAATTAAAACCAATGAAGATTTATAAATAGTATCAAACATTCAGTTAAATAATTATAGCAATATTAAAAGTTATTACAATGCATCAGCATTATGTGAATATAATGCTTGTTTCATTTCAGTTATTCAGTGCGATGTCATAAACATTTAAACATTTGATATTTTTCTGAAACATTACTAAATAATTCGCAAAATTCACCATGTTCCTCCTTAGATTTAACTAATGTGAAATGGAGAATATCTGTTTTAAAAAATGATCTTGGGTATCCATTAACAGTACCATAAACCGTTTTATATTATTTAATATAACAGTTGCATGATAGGTTTTGAATTAACAGCACAAAATTAGTACTTATCTTCAAAATAATTGAGGACAGTTTAATAATCTGACAATTTTTAAAAGCCATATTAGAAATCAAAATACAATATAGAATTTAATTTTAATTTCAAATAGAATTCTATTTAGTGCCATGTCAAAAATCAGTTAAACATTTGATATTTTTCTGAAACATTACTAAATAATTTACAAAATTCACCAGTTTCCTCCTTAGATTTAACTAATGTGAAATGGAGAATATGTTTTAAAAAATGTTAAAAGCCAAATTAGAAATCAAAATCTAACATAGATTTTAATTTCAAACTGAATTCTAATTTAGATAAACATAAAAGGAATTACGATTTAATATGGGTAATCCTCTGTTAGGTCTAGTAGCTAAAATGTGCACAGACGCGCAAAGTAAGTTATACTTACACCGCGAACCGCGCTTTACACACATCACTGTTTCCTAAGAAGCAAACCTATCATGCATACCTTAATGGAACTTTTCCATGCTTAAAAGGACCTTGAAGATACTTCATATATCGCTGACATGCTTACAGTAGAGTAGCCAATTAAATAAGTGTAAAATTATAAAATAAACTAAATAATTCCTTGCCTATATTTAATTCAGAATAACTCTTAAAATAATATCTAACGGAAAATAAATCTATAAAAATTAGTAACAACTAATTCATTGCAGAATACACACACAAACAGGCATTAATCAAACAAACTGTACATACACTATCTACAAATGAGAAAGATGTAAAATGGTGTTGATGAAGGAGGCATATTCAAACTGGCATTTAAACATCTACAACCATTTTCTTGTGAATATCAGTATTGCCAACCATCTAGAAATAAAATACATTAATTATTATACCAGCTGAGAAAGGTTAAGTACAAATAATGGTAGCAGCTGAGATACCAACTTGCTCCACTTTGTAAAATAATATTTTCTAGTGGCAACAAAATGTAAGATTCATTAAGTAATTTTTCCACCATTTCATATAAAAAATTCAAAGTATAATAAACGCAACATTATTGCGATTATCCCGTGATGACACTTTTAAAGAGTGGATGTAATTATTCTTATTCTACAAGTTTTGCTTTTTAATTAGCAAACAATTTATTAAAACATTTGCAGAAAGCAGAGCAGTTGACATCCCTATACCGGTAAAAATGATTTACAGCTGTTATTTTTCTTTATTATTAACTTTGAAAATATAGATGGCTGAAAATGATAAAAATTGAATGTTCAATATTGACACAGAATATTTTTTAAATAACAACTTTAGAAGGATTTCTTTTGAATAGAGTAAGCTTCATTTTCATTAGTTTCACAGAAAATTTCTTAGCGCATTAGTAGGTAGATGGGGGAGGAAGTTGAGAAATACACCTGAAATTTCACCAAAATTTCGAACTTGAATTCATTTTCGATACCAGCGATAGATAAAAGCTGTAGGCAGACTTAGATAGTAAGTAAAACTTTCTGCTAACACAATATCTCAATCCAAAACATTTCTGCTTGCAATTTATTGACTCTTTTAATTTATTTTAATCATTTAATGGCCCCCAAATTTTGACAAAATTTGGTCAAAAATCACAAATTTTTTTCTTTTTTATTAAATATTTTTTTTAGCACTTTATCGCAGATATGAAACTATTTATAGATTTACATTGTTCTACCTCATACTGGACGGACTTTCTTCCTACATCTAAAATCAACAAGGTACATATTTAAAACGAAAAGATTTTTTTCTTGACTTTTCCAGGTAGATTTACATTAATTCCAGAATATATATATATTTTTTTAAATCAGAATTTATAAGTAATAAAAATGTAAATTATAATTTTAAATAATATTGTAACATTATTTATAATTTCAAAAATTAATAAATAAATATTTAAAAAAAATCAGATGATTTAAATAGTTTCAACTCGATTAGAAATAATAAATCTTCAGAACTAAAAGCGTGACTGAAAGGGCAAAGGGAATATATTGGGCAATATTTATTATTTTTAAAATTATAAGTACAAGGTTGTTGCAAAAAAAAACAAATTAATAATAAATATAAATAAATAATCTGTGTATAATTGAAGTTAAATCATATTTAATCAATGTAAGAACATTTTTGAAAACAAAAACGCAATAAATAATTAAAACTAAATATATTAGCATTAATTAAAAAATTATGAGAAAGATAAGCTTCAATATTATTGTAAAACTTAATTAATCAATATTAATTTTTAAAAAAAAATAATTAAAAAAAAACATTTTAATATTAATTATTAAACTATCCTGAAAAGAAACTTATAAATTTATAAACAATTCATATTTAGTTAAAATTAATTAATATTTATTAAGTCAAATAAAATAAATAACTAAAACACATGCTCATTATCAACAGACAAACAAAAATATAAATAAATAAATCAACAATTAAAACGCAATGTTTTTAATCCTTATCTATAAAGTAAATAATTAAATTATCCTAAAATATACAACACGACAGAAATGCTTAAGAATAATAAAATCTTCAGGATTCGCTTAATGATGATTGGTTTGAATTTTTTTAAAAAAAATCCTCTATTACACAAGTGCAAATAACAGTTGAAAATGGAGGAGTGAAATCTTCCAATATGATAAGGTATCAAATTCCCTGAATTTTATTTTAATCTTGTTTTCCCTGACAATTCCTAATGCGCACAAACACTGATCCAAGTTGCTATTTTTTAAATTTTTTATTATAATGAATACAATAAAATTTTCTGCGATGGTGAAAAAAATTTTGCAAGCGGCGTTCACAAATTCGTGTATATATTATGCACATCTGGTTGTAGGTGAAAAAATTTGATAGAGAAATGAACTTGAAGTTATGTTAACTTTTTTTCAGCCACATATCTATATATTAGTTTGAATAGAAGTTTGAATAGAGTTTGTAATAATGGAATTTCAAACGCTCATCATTGAAACAACAATATTAATAGAATTATTGCTAATTACAAATATTATTAAATAATCTTTAATTAAAAACTAGTATTTAGTACATATATTTTTACAAATAGATATGTGGCTGAAAATATGTGTTAGACAGAATATGTGCTAACAAGTCTAACAGCTAATTTTATTTACATTTTAATAATTTTACCTCATTCTTGTATTGGTTACAAGGATTTACAGAAATTAAAGATAGAATGGAGTGGGTGTTTTATTTACTTATTTTATAATATTCTTTCTTATACTCTAAAAAACAAGTTACTAAATATTGAACAGAGCCTTAAATACAACATTATGCACAGAAGTAAGATGCATATTAAATCAAATAGGAGAATGTAGATATATTTTAAACACCAAAAAAATGTCACAAGCAATAGTAAAATAAATCAAATCAAAGACAAATTCAATGGCTAAAAATAAAGATTTGAAAACCATATAGAGTTTGTCAGGATGACAATGTCGTGTGAATTCAGATCATTATATGAACTAAAAACAGAGTTAAATTATACATCTGTGTAGATAGAAATCAATCATGTTTTAAAAACTAATTAGCTGATGATTTTAACAGAAAATAATAAAATTTTGGTTTGGGAGAAAAACATATCGATGCAATGATCTTATGTCTTTTCGAAACTGTGTATCATCACTTGAAAAATGCAAAAACTTTTACAATTTAAATTGCAATATAGCATGTTTATAGGAGAATTCGGTTGGGATATGGTATTGGGAAATAATCAAGGTTTTGTATGCAAGTTTTAAAATTCTATTCAAGGTTTCGAATAGAATTTTAAAACTTAGTACAGATAGTATTCTAAAGAAGATCACATTAGCAAGAATTTACCGAGCAGTGACATGCTAACTTAAAATAATGTGAAATCACTTACAGCACAAAACTCAGGAAATGAAATTTTTCCATCCTCATCTTTATCTGCAAATAATATTGTTTTATCAACTATTTGTTGCAATTGAACATCTTTCAAATTGCTGCCCACCATCATCTTAAGCACTTGGAATAATTCACTGTTTGATATGTAGCCATCGTTATCCATATCATAAATTCGAAAGGCAACTAAAAAAAATATACAAATTGACTTAAAAACTAGTACAGACTAATACTCAATAAACAAAAGATTCTAGCATAATTTTTTTTGTTTTGTGACATAGTTATACAATTTTCCAGAAGTACTAAGTTTAGTTTTAATTGCAAATTTTGGAAATTATGCCTAATCAACAATTTATACCATTAGTAAAAAGAAATGTTAAGTTACCATAAATTTTTTATTTTTATAAAAATATTATGGAGCATCTTAAGTTTACTATCAATAATACATTTTCGGAACTAGAGAAATAGCCAATGTAGTAGCTATACTGGTAAGCTTGTTAACAAGTGAAAAAGCTATGTAAATCCTTTAATTATCAACATTTAAAAGCATGTCTTTTTCCACTTTATTTTTATTTGTCATCTCCATAGAATAACAATCATAAAAAAACTTTAGATTAAAAATATTTTAAATAGTTTTTGCCTGATAGCCATAGTTCTTACCAACACCTACAAAACTAATTTCATTTTGGTGATAGATTTTCAATATCTGTCCTCGCTTTATTGCAAAAACTCTCATTGTACTTCAATGTACATTTGCAATGAATTGAGAAGGCCAAAGCCCATCCTGGGCTGTCTTGCCAATGAGAAGAGAAGAAGGTAATGAATTGGATGATATCCTGGCTAAGGAAGGAATTTTAATGAATTTGATCTCTACCACCCTGAACTTACATGAAATTTTAATAGTTTGATCTACCATTGACTCTCCCTAGCTCTCGATAGTCTTCCTAGCTCGTTCATAGATTGTGGGAAATGTAACACCATTCAACACATTCAATGTAACACCTCTAAACATTGTCATTCCAGCTTGATACTTTAAAAAGAATTAGTTTCTCTTCAGAATTTTAATCTTTATTTTGAGACTTTTTGTCTCTTTAGGTCTACTACAGTACGGAACCCGTTATCCGGAAATCAGAAAACCGGAAAACCAAAAAACCGGAACGAAATTCGATAAATTTTCCAGCCATTTAAAATAAATGTTTTTTTCCTCATATGATTTTAGGGTTTCTCTTTCTTTTTTGAAAGATGTTTACCTTACCATCATTTTGGAAATAATCATTANATAGTTCGAAAGCCTACTTTAACAATAGAAAAAACGGCTTTTTGTAGCGATTCAGAAAACCGGAAAAATCAGTTATCCGGAATAGCAATGGTCCCGATCATTCCGGATAATCGGTTCCCTACTGTACATGAATTTGGTCTAACTCAATCACTAACCAGTAACCAACAAACAAATCAGAAACATTTACGCTTTGAAATTTTTAATTTCAACTTTAAATATCACAAATCTTTTAACCTGTTGATCGAAAATTCAAATTTTTTTTTTATTTGTGTTAAAATCTGTTTTTTCCTCTCTATTTTAAATTTAGCTTTTACTAAACAATTTTGTTTTCCTTCATTATACTCAGAATTAATACTGCCAACCATTTCTATCGAAAGTTAAATAAGATGCCAACTTATGCACCTAATAAAATGTGACATTAGGAAAGTAGTACAGACAGAAGACGTCCGAAACAGTTCAAACTGCTACAATGTAAAAAGATCACAGTTCACTCCGCTAGCATAAAAACATGCATTTTTACAGAGAGAAATTAGAGATTAACTCATGCATTAAAATACTTACATCTAAGTTTTGATTCTTTGTCACCTTTGACACTAAACTGGGATACGCCTTGAATAAATTCTGTAACAGAAAATGTAAGCTAAATGAAATGAAATAAATACTAATAATGGTTAAATATAAAAAGTTTTCAACATTTAAGATTTCAAAATTTCATATTAGACTAAAAAAAAGGGGAAAAAATTTCAGTACTAAAATTAACAAATAAGATCATTACATGAACAACAAATATATAAATAAAAATTCTTTGGTCAGTATTTTTTGTGTGATTTCTTTAAATCTCTTTTAATATAAGTTTGTAGATTTTATTTTGTATCGGTAGATTAAATGTTGATGAGGTTTAAATTAATCCTCCAAGCTTTTGAGCCCCTTTTAAAAATTCTACATAAATTTTACTCTGCTATGCATTATATTTTACTGAATAACATCAAAAAAAATGTTTCTTTTTTTATGCAGATTTGCATTTGATTTATATTGATTTTGTCGCAATGTTTTTTTATAACTTTTTCGGCAGTTATTCTCATGAATTTCTACACAATTTTTAAAATCCCTATATTTTTAATTCGAAACTATTTTGACTCATGAATCTGAATCGCCAAGATGAAACATTGCTTAGCGATTTTTGATTATGTTATCTCAATTCTATTGCGAATCAATGTGGTTTTCGATCACACGGTTAGTGTTATCGATTTCAACATGGTTTCTTAAATTCCTATTTTTTTTTACACGATATCATTGCAAAACACAGAATCAAAAATTTAAGGAATACATAGCAATGCAAAGATAAGGAAAAAAATATGATTTCTTCTCCTATGATTATTGACAACACGGGCAATAACGATGAAAGAAAAGAAACATAATTTAACTCCTTCCATCTCGCTTCTGTGAAAATGCCGGGGTGAGGTTTCGCCCTCTATTTCTCGCTCTCATGATATTCCCGGGCTGGAGTGTTCAGTAATAACGCGCCCATAAGAATAAAACTAATTCATTTCTTTTGCACGAAAAACATTTTACTTCTCATTTTACACACCAGATGGCAGTACCAGGATATTTTTGAGGTAATTATAGGTAGTTTATTTTAAACTAGATGTCAGCACTAATCAAATACATGTATAAAAAAAATAGGCACTTTTATGACCGTTTTCTTGAAAATTAACTGATCGTTAAGGGGTTAAGCTCATTTCTTCGATTGATTTTTTTTTATCTAAACATTAAAATATAATTAATAAGTCATAATTGAAAAGCTAAAAATATGGTCATCACTTAAAAATTGATGGTCACTTACAGCAATCAGGCGACTGCATTTCGGTGAGCCCTGGCCTTAGTAATGTGACATTCAATATTTGAAATCTACATAACTTAAAATATGTTTTAGAACTCCTAAAGTTTACCTTTAAAATCAACTTCTCCATTACCATCAGTATCGAAAATATCTATTACACGTTGTACCAAAGGATTTTGTTGTAACTCAGGAAGAGACATAAATTCATCAACACTGAGAGATCCAGAATTGTCCAAATCCAGTTTGCGAAATCGTTTACCTAATCTTTTTATCTCATCAGGATCAACTGAAATCAATTAATAGATCAAAATCAATCAATTTCAAAGAAAGTTAAAAATCAAAATATTGTATTTTTCATTTTTTTATCTACCATCTGTTAGTAAAATTATACTCACACGTGGAACACATTTCCATCGGAAGTGATGTTTCATTTCCCTAAAAAAAATCTTCATGTTAGTTTATTTCTTTACTTGAATGGTTCACACAATGAAACACCCAGATAAGAAACAATTAAGCATCTTTAAATGTAAAAATTTATAATACAATTAAAAAATGATTCATTTCTAAAGAACATCAAAAATTTCAGTACCTTGCAAATTATTTAAGTAATTTTTAAGAAACACTTTAAGCAAGTAAAATCTTTTTCTAAAAATTATATTTAGAATATTAAGCATTTCAGTATAATTCAAAAAAAAATTTTTTAAGTTAAAATAGAAAAAAACATTCAGGACTTATGGAAATGATATGGATAAAGTTTTCGCTTTCTTGTTTTTAACTTGGGTTAGTTTAAATCATTGTTAAGTCATGAAAAATTTCTTTATTTATCTGAAATATTGAACATTAGTCACAAAAATTAAACATTTTAATGAGAAAAATAAACTATAAATATTTATAGCATTTGAAAGAAACACATGTAGGCAAGCATTGTTAAAAAAATCTATTTAATTTTGTTCCAAGTTTAACAGTTTTTTCTACTTTTTAATTTAAATTTTTTGCTTGCTAACTCTTCAAATCAAATTCAAAAAAATAAAAAATGTATTTAATGAAAGAGGGAACTCAACTTATCTGCTCTTCTTTTTTTTCTTTCCCTTCAATTTATTCATCAATGAAATTTATTTTATTATAATTAATTCATTAATTAAATGTCATTTAACCAATGAAAAATCATTGTACGAAAATTGATGTAAACTGTAATTTTTTTTTAAAATTGAATAATGCACCTTTGATTTTTGCTTTCCTAATTTTTGATCTTGCATACATTGCAATGATTATGGGCATAACACTGTATTCGGGCCGTGATAGCCTGGTCGGTTGGGCGCTGGACCCATGTCTGAGAGTTCGTGGGTTCGAACCCTGCCAGCCGTAGACTCCCGAAGAACAGTGTAGTAAAGTGACTGATGCATGTTAAATCCGTCGAGTCGCAAAAGTCCTCCATGTTCCCATAACAAATCAATACCTCTGGGGGTACTCGATTGCAGATCGATCGTTCTCTGATTCAGGTCAAAATCACAATCTGTGGATGAATGAATGGGTCCGCCCTATAAACGGGTGCGACATATGGTGTGGCATAAGTCGAATTCTTGGCTATAGATGGCGCCACAGAAAAACAACAAATGCACATTCTGCCTTAAATTTGCTCGGTTTCACCCAGCAGGCTTGCCCGTGTGGCAAGTCGCAAAAGAAACAACAACAACACTGCATTCAGTGGTCAGAAGTAACAGATAAACACAACTATTTTAGCTGCTACTTTTTTTCGCAATCTTTAGTGTAATGTGCTACTTTATAAAAATAGTAGAGTAGTGCAATACAAAAAAAAAATTTAGTTTCATATAGTGATTCCTGGTAACTACTTTTAATGTTAGTTTAGCATTGAAACAAAGTTCAAACACAACTAATTTCCAAATTTGATTGGTATAAAACTTTGCAGGTCCATCAATGCACATAATCAAAATGTCCTGGGGCCGAGCATTAGGAAAAAAAATGTATATTACTTAATATTTAAACTAGCCATTACGACTAATAGGTAGTAATGTATCATTTTAGCTACACCATCAAATGCAAATGTACACTCTTGAAACATTTATATTATTTCAATGAAAGGGAACACAATCTCGATGTAACCTTTCAAAGTACTTAATTTCTTGGAAGAAATAAAAGAATATTTAACGCTTACAAAATTGCAAGTATTTGATTAGTTTCTAGTATTTAATTGATTCTCTGTCAAGAAAGGTATGGAAAGTTGAAAAAATAAATTTCGTTAAGAATGGCGCAATATAACAAGTTGGCTCTTGTAAACAATAAACATGAATAAATATTTAATATTTCGTCATGTTTAAATAAGCCAATTTTTTATTGAAAATCATTTTGAACATTTGTAAATGAAGTTCTTCTGCAAAGTTAGTTTCCTAAAAGTAGTGATTGCATTTCAAAATGAACTTGAAGCTACTACATTAAAAAAAAAGTTGTACCAGGAGTTAACTACATTTGTAATAGAATAGTTGTAATGTACAATAAATTCCGACATAATTTCCGACAACTATCAGTATTATATTATTTAAATACTTAAATGTTGGCGAAAAACAACAAACAATTTTATTTAAATAGACCACCATTTTTTTTAAATTAACATCATTATTTGCTAACCTGCACCTCATAATTGCAAGGCTTGGTGTTTAAGGTCCAGGTATGAAGCTGGGGGACACTATTTAAGGGTGGGGTTCAAATACTTTTTTAGAAAATTTTTGATTATCTATAGATAGATAATATAATTTTTGATCTTGGAAAAATTAGTCTTTTAAGTAAGAGGATTAAGGTAAGGGTCCTTATTAACATTGCAGAAAATAAATTAAAAAAAAAAATAATAACAGAAGGTTCATAAAAGACATTTTTTAGTAAAAAACTATCTCAGAGCCGGATTAAACGTACGCGGGGCCCTAGGCCATTTAAAATTTTGAGGCAATTAGATTAAATTTTTTTTTCCTCATATTTTTCATTTATTCAAATATAAAAGTATTTATCTATCTTTTCATTTAAGAAAGCATACTTAAAATAAATAACAATAAATTAAATTTTAATAAGTAATAAATAAATATGAGTAACAGATTATATAAAAAAATTATCGCACTTTATTAATATATATTTGAAATTGAATTTTTTTTTTTTAAAAATCATTATTTTTCTTAATTTTTTAAAATTTATTTTCAAAAAACCCATTTTAAGGGGGCCCCAGGCTATAGCCTAGTCTGGCCTAGGGGTAATCTGGCACTGAACCATCTTATTTAATGAACTGGTAGAAAAATATTACTTTTTACGTACTATAATGTGTTTAATTAACCTAAAATTTTTAAGTGTTTGTAAAATTTCACTTGTACTAAGCTATTCAATTATTGTGGATAGTTAAATGGGAATATTTCTATATCCTGATCTGTCGCACTAAGTATACTATTGGTAAGACGCCAAATGAATATTAAATTTTAAAAAAAAAAATGTTTAGGTGCCAAATAAATTTTAAACTTGCAATTTTTTAAAAAAAAACATGCAGATGTTTGCCCGGGTGTGGATACGAGTTATACCTTTCGAGTAGGTCCCTTTCTGTGGTGTTTTTTTCAGTTTCTCGCGGGCCACTGCCCAGAAGTTTCCAAAACTTGGCAGTTATTCTGCCACAGATCACAATACGGAAATCTCCCCGATACAAATTATACGCTTCAAGTTGGTCCACTCTCCAATAATTTTTTTTCAGTTTCTTATGGGCTGCTGCCCAGAAGTTGCCAAGGCTTGGCAATTATTCTGTCACAAATTATGATACAGGGATCTTCCTAACTCAATAAATATGGGGGAAGATTTTACATCATGATCTGCGTCAGAATGATTGCCAGGTGTTGGCAACTTCCGGGCTGCAGTTAACAAGGAACTAAATAAAACATCACAGAAGGGGACAAACTTAGAAGGTATAACTTGTAAACATCTCTATATGTTTTTTTTTTATATAAAAATTGGAAGTTTAAAATTTATTTGAAACTTTGGAAATTGTAGTTGGAGCGATAGATCAAGATATGGAAATATCCCTTATGTGGAGTTTACCGCACAGCAAAGCAGACAAAATTATGTTAGTTAATTTTTTAAATCAAGAACCAAATTAATAAAAAATAAAATTTTACCAGTAAAAGTTAATTACTTGTTGAACTGTTGTGCCATAAGTGGTCAACTTGCAATAAACCATTGATAAAGTTTTTATAGCATATTCATTTTATAAGCTAAAAAATTCGTTAGCAAATCATTCAAGTTTGTACCATGCCAAAGCAAATGTAAGTACAAATCTCATTTATATGGAATATTACATTTAACGCTTGATAAAAACAGTTCTTTGATAAATTATTTTCGGTTACAAAATCTATGCCAAACAGTTCTTGCAGGTTGCGCTAAAAACTTATTTTCATACGTTATGTTAAACAAAAATATACCAAAAAAAAGAGGAAAAACCTTTCTTGAAATTTTACAGTTTGTATGTTACATAATATTACTGAGCAGGGTTTTAAAAATTTAATTTCATATGAAATAAACAGTAATGATTCAGGCAACTTTAAAAATGTCTAACCCAAAACAATTTATTACGAATTTGCTACATATTAAAACCAAAAGTTTTATAAATTTAAAGTTTACAAACAATATAAAAAATGTTGTAATCAATTGAAGCCCTCAGATCCAGAAAAGAAAGCTATTAATTTCACCTAAGAAAAAAAAGGAGAAACTGCGGCTGTCAATTGGTGACCTATTTTATTGTCACGTCAGAAAACATGCATTTTGCGAAATTTTTTTACGAAATAGTTTCTTTAAAATTGAACAAGCAATATTTTAACTTTTTTTTTCTACTTACCATGCTTCTAAAAGTTCACGACCAAACTAATTTCTAATTAATATTCGAGGAAATACTACTATTTTGCCTTGACGATATATTTGCTCTACTGCAGCTAAATAAAGATAATAAATTTTACATCATAGAGTGATGTTTACTACGACACTGATGAAACAGATTCTGTATAAAACTAGTAAAAACATTGCTCATAGAGGTCACTGCATGCAAATTAAAATTATTGTTCTAATTAAAATATAAGTATTCTAATATTAAAACTAATCTAAAATATATAACTGAAAAACATTCTTCTTTGATTGAAAAGCAAAAAATGTTCCATTCGAAAAAGTTTATAGCGTACTCTAGTGATAAATGCAGCAGTTAAAACACTGTTAAAAAGTGTAGCCTCTTACCATGATCTCTTTTTAAATTTGTTTGTTTCTGATTCAAGTTCTTGATCGCTGCCGGCAGCGCATATGAATCTATTGACATTTTGTCAATCTTTTAACATCAAATATTTAAAAACATAACCATCAATAGAATATATATTTTTGAAAGAAAGCAAATTTCATTGTTTTCAATTTTATAATAACTTTCCAAAACTACAATCATGGCTGCTGTGTGCACCATTAATTTCGATGAATTCGGAAGACCATTCTTAATTTTAAAAGACCAAGATAAACAAAAAAGATTAACAGGAGTTGAAGCTGTCAAAGTAAAAAATTAAATTTTCTTATATCCACTTAAGTTTCTTGCCTTATATTTATTGAATCATACTCTAATTATTATTAAAATGTCGCTTAAGTTTTCATATGTGAATTATGACTAATGCTTAAATTTTCCTGTGGCTAAATTATAGTTATTCCAAAACCAAGTTCAAATATAAAAAAAGCATTAATTTTTAACCATATATGTGCTTGTTAAATTATATCTTCCTATTTAATAATGCTACGAAATAATATTTAGTCTAACTTAAATCTTCCCCTACCCTTACTTCTAATGGAATTTGTAATTAAAGTTTTGCAGTAATGATCAATTTGTCTACTGTATTTCCTTATAAAATTTTAAAGTGCATTGTCCATTAAATCAGGATTGGGTTTTAGAAGTCAAATATCTCATGCAGAAGTCATGATATCACAACGCAGGTGGTGTCTTTGTTAGTTCATTTCAATAATAGCCCGCCGAAGAGCTAAAATTTTAACTTTTGAAAATGTTAAAATTTCTGGAAATATTCAAATTCGATAACTGTTCATGTCTATTGTTAAGTCACCAAATGCTGTTTGAATTAGTGAAAATTTAAAATATAGATATTAAATGCAGTCTTAACTTTTTTTTCGCAACTATTTCTTAGATATATATAAGTAGCTTTTGAAATGGTAACAAATGTTATTTAATGGAATTTGGGTGGCTTAAACTATGAAAATAGAACTTTAGACTAGAAATATTTTTATTTCAAAGTAGTAATATTAACTTAAAATGTTGTTGTAAGGTTTTGATTGTTTTAATATCATTTACATCACACTAAAATTAGAAAAATATCAAAAAATTAAAATATCATGTTTCCATAGTATTTCATCTTCATGTGTTTCCACACTTAAATACCACCTATAACATAGCAGCCCTCATTCCAAATTTTGTTACAATAAAGTTAATCTCTATCATTTACTTAGTTAGGCTTTTCATTGTTTGGCGCATAAGGCATCCAGCTTACTTATTCATCTACAGGTCTTTCGCTTGGAATCTTGCTTTGTTTTGGTCATCTAGGTGTTTTCTCTTTTCAAATCATATTGATTTTATACTGCCAGGTTATTCTAAGTCTTGGGATATTTCCGTATCATGAACTGTTACTCGGAATTCCAATTTCAATCGCCAAGGTGCCAAATAGATAACTTGCAAATTTTTAAAAAAAAAAAACATGTTATAGATGTTTGCCTGGGGGTGGCTACGCGTTACACCTTTCAAGTTGGTCCCTTTCTGTGATGTTTTTTCTTTTTAGTTTCTTACGACAAACTGCCCGTAAGTTGCACAGACTTGGTGATTATTCTGCCACAGTTCATAATATGGATATCTTCCTCTTGGTCTTCCCCTATTTCTCTTGTCACTATTAAAATATGTCCCGTTTATTTCCAAATTTTTCTATTGATTTATCTTCATTTTTGTGCTAAAATAATCGATAAATTTGATTTCCAGGCAGTAATACCCATTAAACTTAGGAAAGAAATCATTTGTAGCTTAAATTTTGAAAGTATAAAAATCTGTTGTTACTTAATGATTGTAACAAAAGCAGGCGCCAATATGTAAATATCCTCATTAGTTAGCAATTTGGCTCTAATGGTTGATGAAAAGTTAGTATAACATATTTGGTACAAATGCTAAAATCTAAATCTTCCCAGGATCCATATATGGAGCAGTTGTATAAAATTTAATAATTTAAATTTTTTTCTGCAAAACAGGCTGAACCATAAGGAATTTCAAGAGTCATTTTGTTTTAGTTGAGTGCAGTTACAGCTACAATTATACTTTCTAGATTTAGTTCTTAAATAGAGTGCATATCATTTTTAAAAAGTGTTTTTTTTTTTGTTTTATGTTTTTTTAAAGTCCTCAAAGGTGCTTTTTTTATTTGGGGTTTCTAAAAAGTGTTTAATTTTCCATCTTTTAGGGAGAGATTTTTTCTTCTTTGTCTTCTCAATTGTCATTCTAAATTACAATAAATTCACGATTTTCATAATTTTCTCTGCAATATTTATTAGAAACTAGTTAGTATTTTATTGTGATTGTGTTAAGTTTTTGAATTTTATTGATTTTATGTTTATAAATTATGAACTTAAAACAATAAAAAAAAAAAAATTTTTTTTTTTTGTTCCTGCATAGATCCTATTATTATTATTTTTTGGAAAGTGATTACAAATATATTTGAGTGCTTAAAAAGTGCTTATTTTTTGTTGAAATATCTGGCTACACATCTTGTTAAAGTTAACTAATTTTCTTTAGAATTTTCAATTTAGTCCTGTCAGTCTACATGTATATATATATATTCCACCTGCAGGTGTTGTCTTTGTTTTTCTTTATGTGAATTATATCTGTGTTTCATAACATGTAAATTAAAAAAAAAAAAACATTTTTCTTCCTTTTCTAGACTCATATCTATGCTGGAAAAAGTGTAGCAAACACTTTGCGTACTTCATTGGGCCCTAAAGGTACTGTAGTTGTGCTTTTTTTTTATCTTGATTTATATTTTATTTTTCAATTTATAATGGCTAAAATATATATCAGTAAACTAAAAAATATATATTTGAGTACAATGAGAGGTATAGTTATTAGCAAAATTACTAATTCATTTCTTTTAAAAATGAATTATTTGCATAAAGCATTTTTTTCTATCTCTACAATCTTATATAATTCAATTCTTCCAGAAAAAATAAATGATTAAGCATTTGACTACATACGTAATAAAAAACAAAGCATCTGGAATTACTTTTGATCTAATGATTGGATTTTCGTGTTCTAGGACTCAAGAGGGTGCCTTCAAATATGCTAATTATTTATTGCAGGCAATATTATAAGTTATCAAACCAGACACTAAAACATATTTTCTCTGAATAGCCATACCTTTTTCTTGATGGATTTAAATTTCTGAGCCTCTAAGTATAAAGAGAGCTGCAAGCAAGCAATTATTCAAGGTGGTCCATTTTTTATTTTGGGCTCTGTACATATTAAATATCTAAAACACATTTATTGGAGTTTTTCACAAGTATAAAGTTAAAGGTAGTAATGCTTAAAATAAATATTGCTTTAAGATATTTTTTTCACTAAATATAATAATATAAAAAATTCCTACATCTTTTCATTATAAAGCATTTATTTGGAAATTTTTAGGTCTAGATAAGTTAATGGTTTCGCCTGATGGTGATGTAACTGTAACTAATGATGGAGCAACTATTCTTAAAATGATGGATGTTGATCACCAAATTGCAAAGCTTTTTGTGGAACTATCCCAATCGCAAGATGATGAAATTGGTGATGGCACTACCGGTGTTGTAGTTCTTGCAGGTAACAAATATGAGTTCCATTTTTGTTTGATTTAACTAAATTTTTTGTTTGATTAAAGCTTAATTACAGTGATTATTATGTGCTACTGACTGAACATATTCAGCTGTAGGATTTTAAATATTTCACTACAGTTAGACTGTTGTTTTATCATTGCTTGTACGGTTGATAAGTAAACCTTCAGATTAAGAAGTTTAATATATTCATAGTGCTGGTATTCGTAATTCATGCTTAAAACTGTTATACGATAGAATATCTATTTAGCACAATTCTATGATGAATTCTGTTTGTAATGCTCCTGATAATTTTGATTTTTTTTTCCCTGTAAAAAAGGAATATTGTTATATATATTTGCAATCTAAAGTATTTTTATTTAAAAGCATTAATATTGATCTGTTCCACACACATATATATATACAGTCAGACCTCGATATAAGGTCAACCTTAGGGACATTGCAAAAGTGACCTTTTAACCGAGTCATTAGCAGCTCATAGCTAAGCGCATAAATAGTACACAATGTGATTTTTTAAAAATAATGGTAATGCAATCGAAAATGATCGGCCATAAATTAAATATTAGCAAAAAATAAATTTTAGCAGAATTGGTAAAGAATTAAAGAAAGATTTAAAAGAAAAAATTTAATTTTGAATAAAGTTGGCAAATTTCCTCAAAGTTTATATATAAACATTACATCCTACCTTATTTAAAACATCTCAAAATGTTCCTCAGCTCCCTCATGGTTGTAAAAAAAATTCGTGACATTCATTGCATTGAATGCTTCCGCTTGGGGTTACAGCTCCAGTCTCAATGTCACTGTCTCTGTCCACAACTTGTGAAACGATTTCAGAAATTGTAACTTCAGAAGTGGTGGCAATTTCCTCATAAATCAAACCATTTCTTCAATGGCATGGCCACGATTTTTCAGATCTTTCGTCTGAACAGATAGAGGAATATCATCTTCTTCGGTTTCATCATCCACGATGTTCAGAGAACTCACAAAACCAGCAAGAGGAAAATAATTGAAAACTCTCTGGTGTGTTCGCTGGCTGCAGCATTTTCTGAGAACTCGAGGGGGGTAATTGCCTTGTAAAGAAATTGAATAGGCTTTTGTTAGAAAAGAGCTCCCCTCGCCTCAGATAAAAATGACCTTATAAGCGATAATGATTTTTAAAACTTGACCATATATCCGATAATTTATTACAAAGAATTCCTATTCAGTGAGCCAGGACATTGGAAAAGTAACCTTATATCGAGGTCTGATTGTGTTTATGTATGTATATATATATCCTTTTTTTTTGTTTTTTTTTTTTTTTTGACGGAGTCTCACTCTGCCAC